GAGACACATCAGCACATTTGCAAGTGTGTGATTCAGGGAACATTTGAAAATTCATAATTATGAACTACAGACCACTGAGAGGCAACCTTTCAGCAACAAACACTTTTGCTTTTTAATTTATTATCATTAATTATTGTGTATCATTTTGAAAAAAAATATTTTAATTTTTAATATAAAGTAAGCAAAGTAAACAAGATTCTTGTAGTAATAACTCCCAGTTCAGTTTGAGTTAAATCCCATCTGTTCTTTTACATAATTTCACACTCACTGCACTTCCATACTTCAGCTCCTTTCTTCCAGTCTTTCAATTGTCTGTCTTTTTCTGTTCCCTCAGTCTACATACTATTTCATTGGTGACACCTTCTTAAAGATCTTAGTGTATAGATTTTACACAGTTTGACTCTCACGAACGCTCTAGATATTGCGTCAGGTGCCCTCTAGCAACCAAACATATAAATAAAATATTACAAAATATAGCTTACAGCAAACTATGAACTACTACAAGGCTACATGGAAATTACTGGGAATACCGTTTGCACGGCTTATCTCATAATAATGACGTGAACGTCACAGTAAATAAACGTAAACAATCCTCCACTTTAGTTCTTGCGATCAGCCAGCTGGTTAGTTATTTCAATTTTATGAATGTTGAGATACAAAAAACACCTTACATACCAAGAAAATTAACAAGTAAGTGAAATAGTTGTGTCAGCATTTACTTTGAACTTAGGTTTGTTGGTGAGCGTTAATCAAACTATCCGAAGACGTTGTACTTAAATAAATAAAACATTTTTGTTAAAATTATGTGGACTGATCTCTGTGTTATTGTTTCACCGAATAATTTAAAACAACTACCACAACAATAGTATTAAAAAAACAAGCTTTATTGCTTCTAACTTATGAGATGTTTATTACGGAGAAATACACAAGTATATATAAAAATGGCCATGCAACGTTTCGACCTTCTACTTAGGTCATCATCAGGCAAGATAAAACAATGTTTTAATCGCGTAAAGCGAGGAGAACAATAAAATTAAACAACAATATTATTGACTATTTACAACCACTATCTAAGGAAACGAAGAAATAAAATTAAAAACTTTTTCATTATTATTAATATTTCTTATTTTATTTTGTATAAACATACTATTTATAAAGTGGTTTATTTTGAATTCATTTTCTAGCATTGTTACGTAGTAGAATTTCGAATAGCCAGAAGCCGAGTTAACTGATAATTTAAATTTAGTAATGAAATTGTACTTTGGATTTAGTATTTAAATATATGCCGATATTTTAGTCAATTTACGATATTTGCCAACAAGATTGATACACACCGTCTTCGTTTTTAACACAAATACGTTTTAATATATTACATAAGAATACAATTTACAGTAACAATTATTACAAATAGTTATAAAAAAACCATAATCTATAAACAAAAGTTTCACAAACTTACAAACAATATAAAATCTTCTTTCTAGTTTGGAACTCCCTTGATATCTTATCGAGGGTTTACGATAAGCGAGTTAATTACGAGTTGATGTAAGTACGATCCGCTGGGAAGCTAGCTAGCTTCGTCCCTGGCCACACACACTAGGTTTTCCACGGTTGAAGTTAGGTAACGTTTTTCGTAAAAATATTAATTGTCTGATGAGAGTCCACTGAAGTTAGACGATGTGTAATGTTCGAAATTTATAAATATTCCTGGCCAAATATAGCTTTCAAAGTTTATAGCACACTGATTATAGCAAACTAATAATAGATAAACTTTTCTTGGCGCGTCGCGTTGGTTATATTTATAGGCGTGGGAAGATTTTCTAGGAAATTCAAATTACGCAACAATGCAAATTGAAGCGTTTACACACACACATATACTTTTGATTCTTACTCTCGAGAATCTTCTACAACTTTGGAGGATAGGTGGGAGTTTCGCAATACATATCGAACACTATAAGCTATGCACGTTTTTGAATATAAATTCAATCCAAACAAACGTTGACATTAAAACAAATACACAACAACAAATTTGTTACAGTATAAGTTGCTTTAAAAGAAATAAACTGAATATGAGGACTGTGCTATATTTAAAACAGTAGACATTTGTTTTATGGATAGACTTTCTTTGATTAACAGTTCAAGGTCAGAATACCATATTAAAGAATGGTGAATCCTGAGTGAGTTATCCGATGTCCAGTTTGTTAAAAGCTTGTGAGTCAAAATTGTGGTACGTCATAGCAATGTAACCAACTTTACAGATAACCACTGGAGAACAGTTGCTTTTGAGGTTTCATCCTGGAATAATGAGTTTAGCACATGGTTTGGAATATACAGTAGTAATAAGTTTGCTCTTTTCAATAGTGACCATGGCATCAAGAAAGGGACTTCTGGACATTATCAGTATGAATAAGTGTAAGCTTTATGTCGGGGTGTTGATTATTAAATAATTTAACGAATCCCCAAAGAGAAGGGAGCTCATGATATACCCAAAATGTTGTAAATATATCCGTACTATCTAGTTGGTTCAAAATTAGTTTCAAAATTCCACCGAGTAAGAGCTGATGATCCAAAGAAATGCATAAGGATAGAGACCAAAACGAAACCAATATTGTTAACCAAAGTGATTCCTGTGGTTTGTTTATAGAGAGCTAAATTGAATTTAAATTATCTGTTGTTGAGGGCAAATCTGAGAGTCTTTCTCGAGTTTTCGAGCCACGTGTTAGTTGTTTTTTCAACTTAGCCCTTCTATTAACCGTTTCTTTCTCATTAGAAACCTGATGAATGGCTATTGTCCGAAACGTTGTTTTCGTGTTTTATCAATAAAATTATTTTAATTTGGCTAGTTCTTCACCATTACTTTATATTCTATTTTACATTTTTTAACCTGTAACATTCATAGACCCATAAAAAGGCGTACGCCGAAATGTCGCGTGGAATAAATAAACATTTATCTGAAGTTGTTTGTCGTCTTCATTGAAAACGGTTCTGTTATTGTTATTTAATAATAGTATAATGTTGTACTATTGTGATTACTGTGGTCTTTAAAAGTTACCAGTTGGTGTATAATTTGCTAACTCTCGGCGTTTAAACCATAACTTTTAAAGAATTGCATTTCATATATAAATAGTGTTATAAAGAATCTTTTGTCTCTCATCTTTTAACTCAGTTTAACTTTTAACTAACGGGTTGCCTCTTGAGCAGTAGCTTATGGGAGACAAAACATAAATCTGAAACTTTTTTTTATACACCTATGGTTTTGAATCTGCAGTGAACAAATTAAGAGGAATGAGAAACAAAACGACATTTAATACAAATTTACGACTACTGTAACATTTCGATTATTGTTATTTTAACATCAGACATGACATGCAATTTGATAATAAAAAATAATGGATGAGGAAAATACATTTTTGGTTTCTTCTAGCTTTACTCAACTAATTAATTTTTTTGTATTTCTTTTCATACCTTTCTTTGTTATATTTTAGCTTTAAGAATGTTATCTCGATCCTTCAAGCCAAGCATTTTTGTTTTCTTTTTCTCATACCCTATCTCTTCCAAAAGCAATTTTATTCTCACTGCAAACGCAGTCAAATGCAATTTCAGTAGTAAAAGTTATTTAAAACTCGAATTAATACACACATCTATCATACCAATAAAACATTAACAGCTCTTGAATTAAAGTTTTTGTCATAAGGTAAGCCTGCAAAATATACTTGTTTTGGACATATACAAGCTAGGAACTTTTGAAGTTGGTTGTCGTTGTTTGTTATTAAGCACAAAGTTACACAAAGGGCTATCTGTGCTCTGCCCCACCACGGGTATCGAAACCCGGTTTCTAGCGGTATAAGTCCGCAGACATACCGCTGTGCCACTGGGGAGCACTTTTGAAGTAAATACGAAGATTAGACCTAATTCTTTGTTATAAAGAATCACGTAAAATGTAATTTTATTTTTATTCTCAATAGCTCTGAAGTTGACCATTTTGTATTTCAAATCAGAGTCGTTTAAAAATAATATTTCAGATCTATCTATTGTCTCCAATGAGCCCTGTTCAATACCAGAGGTCGTCATTTGAGCTGGTAAATTTGAAACAAGAAGATTCCGATTAACAAGAGTGATTAATGTTATTAGAAATAAGTACGGATAAAGATCATTGCTTTTATACCAAAATAAATAAATAAATAAATCACTTAGGTACGGTTTAAACGTTGAAAGCTGACGAAGTATTAAAACTGCTACGATACATAAACATTATGGACCCATAAATATATTTGTGACACAATGCATTTTTATTATGTTTTAAAATTAATTGTAAAAAAAAATTGCAAAGTTTTTATAACACAAAAGGAATCATTTGGTGCAGCGAACTATTACAATTTGAATGACACATTTCTTCAAGAACTATTTATTGTTTTAGTTATTCTTATTATATGTAACCTTTTGTTCACAAGTCTTCCTCACCCGGTTCTTAGTGATCGCATTATTTTATTGAAGCTTAGAGAGAGAAAAAGTTAATGTAAGTTAATGAGTTTACGCCGAGCGGACGTAAGAGCAGTTGGAATTATATTGAAAAAATAAAAGAAAAGTGTGAAGTGAAAAATGGAATGTGATAAAAGTAAAACACTAAAAAGTGTCCTCCATGAATCCTTTAATACATATCACAGCGTTCACACTGTTGAGAGAGATATGATAAAAACCGAGACAATACGGACTAAACAGTATTTCTAACTGTCATTACTAAATCAGTTTTTGAAAACTGCTTCTTCTACAAATAAAATAAAAGTATGGGAATAATGCGAATTGTGACACAAAAATATTTAAATATCTGAATATTCAGCACTATTTAATACATCACACACACTAGTTTTGTTCGTTAATATTGTGAGAATTTTTACATCATCTTAAAATTATGTATATGTTCTTCTTATGGGGGTATAATAAAACTAGTTATATTTATAAATGTTTTATGATATAATTATAGTTGGTTTTCTTTTTTTTTTTAGAATCTGATTTTTTAGTCACTGGGCTGGTTGGAGAGAAGGTAGATCTGCCCTGCAATGTTGATGTTAGATCATGTGGAGAAGTATATTTCGTAACATGGACTAAAAATATATCTAACGAATGGAAAAGGTTGTATCTATATAGTGATCATGTGGAAAAACCCCTACAAGAACTTGCTAATCCGGACAGGGCGGATTTTTATGTCGAAGACTCTACTTCATATCTGCGGATTTCACCTTTAAAGATTGAAGACGAAGGAAGTTACAAATGTGACGTTACTTACGTCCAGGGAAAATGTCCGTCCTTGTCGTATGCTTCTCTTTTTACAATGGGTAAGTGTTCACTAGGGCATGGCGCCATATCCTAATAATTTTAATTTCAAGTCTTTAAGGCGTTTACGAAAAGTAGCAGTTCGTCAAAAATACACAAATACAACAACCTTATATTCTTAAACAGTATTGAATGATGTAATTCAATGTAATTAATTGTAGTTTTTCTTAGAGCAAATTATTCTTTTACATAACTTTTATTAGCGAGAGCATTCAGGCTCTTTAGATTATCATGTATTCTATTTTTACTTGGCTCAATTACAGTATATATCATCCATTGACAGCAATAAGTGAATTACGACAAATTGATATAGATATATATATATATAGGGCGTACTTTATAAAACTTTAACTTATGTTAGGCCTAAATTCGACAAAGAGATAAATTAACACTGTAGCCTGTGTTTTACGTTTTTTTTTTATTTTTTACTTTAGTCTTAGTTAGGTACTAAATTTTACTGTACTTCTTGTTTCATAC